GTTGCAAGCTTACCCAAGCTGTCATTTTGCTTGCCTTAGCCACACCCACTTTACTAAAGGTTGGTTGTGAAGGGAGTATAGAGACAGCCTGGTAGGTACTTGTCTTCATCATTAATCTTTATCAATCAGGCTTACTCTGTGTATTTTGGTTTTTCCCAAATTGCTGTAATTAGTAGGCTGGGCCAGGCCCACCTAAATGCTTTGCCTGTAATTTAAAATTAAATTTTTATGTGACTAAGTAAACGGTAGAGCATAACTATTTTAACAATTTGTATACACCACAAAGGAGGCCATTTAACACGCCTTATCTTCTAATTTTAGTTCTAATGCGTGCATGCAGGTCTTATTGGCCACACCTGTCAATTACTTGACCCACAACATTAACGTCCACCCAAAAATTTAACCCTAAAGCTACCCCTGGTTGTAATCATATTTCCAATGCCTCCGTGTCATTGTACAGCCTACAAGATGCATTAACTTTCATTGACATGTCACATAATACTCAAATTTATTTATTATTTAGAGTGAAGGTTTGAAGATAGTAGAAGAACAAGAACCTGATGTTGGTGCTTTACTTAAACATAATGTTGTATTGTCTTTTTTGTTGTTTGCATTATAGTTATGAAATTCTGATGATTCACCAGAGAAGAGTACCTCATCAACTAAAGAGTCACAATCATCATCTGATGAAAAGTTAGTGGAGCTGGATTCATAATCCCTTCAGTTTCAGTTTTAATTTTAAGCTTGCATTACAGTGGGGCATGAATGCCTCCTCTTTTTTATATATTTTTTCCACACCTTTGTAAATTAGATTGAACAAAGTCAAGCGAAAAGGATCATGGAAGTCTCCCTTCATCAAAAGAAGGAAGATTGATGATAGTGGTATGTGATGATAGTGGTATGTGATGATAGTGGTATGTTTCTTTATTTCTGAAAATTATTGTTTTTCTTTCATTAGGATCTCCATTTACTACTAGTACTGTAGAGTCCATTGCAGTTTATGTTGAAGCTAGCACTATAAAGCTCTTCACTGTATTTAAAGATTGGATCGAAACAAAATACTTTGTCAATAGCAATAGCGGTCATGTTTATGGATTGGTAAAGACTATCCTTCGTTAATCAGTTGACTACACCGGATGGCCATCAGTTATTACTTGCACCAATTGCAAGAATGGTGAGGCCATGAGAGCGATTCTCGAGGATGTACAGTGGTCTCAAGTCTTTTCAGGGGAGATTGTTGGAGATATTCATGTAAGCTTTAATTTTATGTTTTTATTTATAGAATCATTTGTAGGATATTCAGTCAAAGGAAATTTTTGCAAAGGCTAGGTATGCTATGACAAATGGCTTTAGAGATGATGCTGTTAAAACTTTTATACTCTATCTGGTGGACTGCATATTGAGGAACTGTTGTTGCACTGTTCACCTTTCTTTAGTCAATGCGTTAGTTAACAGTATTACTATTGTGTTACCATAATGTTTTATAGGTACATTCCTATATCCACCAAGTCTGACATGGAGACTAAAGTTAAGGTAGAAGTATGGGAGCAGTTGTTAAATGGAGAAGTAGGGGAAAAAACCGTGTACAGTTTGATATTATCAGTATGTTATGCTGTCTAATTTTTACACGGAACATTTTATTATGTCATTAGGGATTCCGAGACTGCTCCATATGTATTTCTGTTGACAACATAAACAAAATTGTCATGTTTGTAATTGAGGTATTTTGTATTGTTTCATTTGTACTTAATCTATATTTATACTTATAGGCTAAGAACTC